TAACGTAACTTCAGGGAATTTGTCTACCACTGGTTCTTATAATCTTTTAACGTAACTTCAGGGAATTTGTCTACCACTGGTTCTTATAATCTTATAATGTAACTTCAGGGAATTTGTCTACCACTGGTTCCTATAATCTTTTAACGTAACTTCAGGGAATTTGTCTACCACTGGTTCTTATAATCTTATAATGTAACTTCAGGGAATTTGTCTACCACTGGTTCCTATAATCTTTTAATGTAACTTCAGGGAATTTGTCTACCACTGGTTCCTATAATATTTTAACGTAACTTCAGGGAATTTGTCTACCACTGGTTCCTATAATCTTTTAACGTAACTTCAGGGAATTTGTCTACCACTGGTTCCTATAATCTTTTAACGTAACTTCAGGGAATTTGTCTACCACTGGTTCCTATAATTTTTTAACGTAACTTCAGGGAATTTCTCTACCACTGGTTCCTGTAATATCTTAATGTAACTTCAGGGAATTTCTCTACCACTGGTTCCTATAATCTTTTAATGTAACTTCAGGGAATTTCTCTACCACTGGTTCCTATAATCTTTTAACGTAACTTCAGGGAATTTTTCTACCACTTGTTCCTGGAATATTTTAATGTATTAGGTTGGTGCAAAAATAATGACGTAAGAATGTCGTTTTTTTGACGAAGAAAAGTACGTCAAAAAACGACATTATTACGTCATTATTTTTGCACCAACCAAATAACTTCAAGGAATTTCTCTAACACTGGTTTCTATAATCTTTTAATGTAACTTCAGGAAATTTCCCTACCACATGTTCCTATAATATTTAATGTAACTTCAGTGAATTCCTCTGACACTGGACTTCATACCTTTTAATGAAACCCCAATGAATTTTTCTCCCACTGGTTTCCATAATCTTTTAAAGTAACTTCAGAGTTATATTTCTCTATAGGTGTCATTTGAAAAAATTCCCTTGGCCAATTTTCTTTTTGTTACTAGCCTACCTCTAAATGACACCGCCGTCCTAAGGGGTAGCTTTATGTCAGTGTCAACCACTACTGACAGTGGCTTATCAAGGGGGCTCCCAAATGGCATCTCCTCACCATTAACTCTCAACGCTACAGCGTTAAACTTTATTTGGGCGTTATGTTGGCACAGCTAATCTTCACACAGAATCACCTCTCTACAGAGATCAGGGGTCACATAGAATTTGTGCACACTATTCGAGAACCCCACCCCTGCCTTCACTGGGTGGCTCTCTGTCCACTCTATAGTCATCGTCTTCCTGTCTAATTTCGGTATCATGTCTTCACAACCAATATCGCAGGCTCAAATTTTTGTACCGATCCTCTCTGATTATAGATACAGATGCCCCGGGGTTTATCAAGTCCCTCATCGTTTTTCCCTTTATCATTGCCTCGCAGGTAAGTTCCCCCTCTTGTGTCAATAAGGAAAAGAATTTTGCCTTACTTCTGTTACCGCAGCCAGCCTTTTAGCATGAAGCAGTCTGTCGTCACTGGATGTTGACATCAATGTATATATATATATATATATGATATGATATTTTTATGGTTATACATTCTTTTTATAGATAAAAATATTTAAGTAAATGCTCTGTTTATAATAAACAGTATTAAACAACATTTACCGGCCTGAATGTCCGAGAAAGTTTCATAGAAAACGGGATTCGAACCTGTATCCTATACTGAACCGTCATTTAGCTTTGTACATTTCATATATATATATATATATATATATATATATATATATATATATATATATATATATATATATATATATATATATATATATATATATATATATAATAAATATACATATTGTTCCATACTGGTAGAACACAGCACCTGACGATTGCAAAATTTATGTAATTCAAAGTTGGGCTACTAATGCGGAACAATATATATATATATATATATATATATATATATATATATATATGGTAAATTATATAATTAAAAAAGAAGAATAATGGACAAATTTTCAAATTTTTTTCTAAAATAAATGTTTCAAGTTATTCTAATGTATAATCGAAAGTCGAGAACGACTACGTTCGTGAATAAGTGCTACATAACGGACGAAACGAATCCTATCAAAATAGGAAAGTCTGCCCATTGTAATACGCCATAATTGATAATATTTCTTCCATAAATTGACAATACTATAAGAAAGCTTAGATATAAAATTAATAATAAAAGCTTCCTCGATTTTCTGTCCAGGATGTAAATTGGCCCTTTTAGTTCTAAAGGAAATAAAAGGGGGACATGCTTTACTAGTCAAGCACAAATGAAGATAAGATTTGTTAGCAGCGGCAGATTTTATTTTACTCTTAATGTTATATATATATATATATATATATATATATTTAAAGATATGTTTGGTGGCACAAAATTATATATATATATATATATATGTTTAAAAGATATGTTTGGTGGTACAAAATTTTATCACTGTCATGAAAAGACAAAAATTAAAAAACTGAATAACGGGCTAGCTAACCGGTTTCTTACCTCCCTCAACAGAGCTAAATCGAGGTAAATAGCGTTATATATATATATATATATATATATATATATATATATATATATATAGGATGTACATGTGGTGCGATGGGTAAATTGTCGCCATTTTATATTTTTAATTTCGCGCATGCGCGTTGTTTTTTTATTTTTATTATTCGACTGCAGATTATTATAGGTAAGTTGAAAAAGAGCACAATGACGCAATTCACTCCGCCAGAAATTTGCAAACGGCATACTGTACTGCTTGGCATTTGCACCGGAAGCTCCAATAAAAACATTTCAAAGTGTTTGGGTGTCAATCTGAGGGCAAGTAGTTCTGCCCTGGTACAAGAGGATGGCTTCTGGAAGTCCCTATGTTTGGCAACAGGACTCTGCACCAAAACACGTGCAGGAAAACCCAGTAATGGCTGTCAGACAATTTCTGCAACCACATCATCTATTACATGTGGCCACCTAACACCCCAGACTTACAAGCCCTTGATTATTATGCGTGGGGCGCAGATGAACGAGAGACCAACAGAAATCCTTGTAACATTAAAGATGAACTGTGGGCAAGGATTATGGCAGCATTCACCAACTTTAAACAAGGAGGTCGTTCAGAAGAATATCAGGAGATTCCGAAGTCATCTGGAGGCCGTGCTTGAATAAATTTACTCTGTAGTATTTCAATTTTTTTATGTAATTTTGACATTCTGTTTGGCCCTGCCCTGGCGCCTTGTCTACAGTCACTTTCTCACAGATTGCTCCGAGGAGCTGCATTCGCTGGTTCCCAGACGTCATGAGTTCCAGCGCCCTACGAGGCTGGCATTCCGCTCTCACCCCTTCACTGTCGAAACTCCTAAATGTAGCCGTCTCTTCTACTCTAATAGCTTCATGTCTCGCACCTCTCGCCTGTGGAACTCCCTTCCCTTCTCCTGCTTCCCTGTGAGTTATAATCTCCAGCTATTCAAATGTAATGTCAATCGACATCTCCAGTTGCCTTAATCTATCCACTACCCTCATCCTTTCTTCTATAACTCCTATCTGATCTTGCTATTTCCTGTAACCCCTTGCATCTTAGTTGCTTCCCGCCTTGCTTGGGGTGAAACGCTTAAAAAAAAGACAGTGTTATTTTCATTTTTGCGTAATTTAGACGACAATTTATACATCTATATATATATATATATATATATATATATATATATATATATATATATATATATATATATATATATATATGTGGGTGTGTGTGCAATATATATACGTATACTTATCTATCAATATTTTTTTATATTATATACACACACACACACACACACACACACACACACACACACACACATATAAGAAATTATATTCGTCCGGGAAAATTTGGGTGCCTTGATATGTAAATAAAGAGACCAATACCCAAGGGGAAAAAAAGGTAGAAAAAAAGAAAAAACCGAGAACATGTACGTCAGCCGAAGACAATCGTCTAGCATCCAAGTTCAGAGTCCAAAGAAAAAAAGAGCCGATACGAGTAAGTAAAATAACTAAGTAAATGCTCAATACTCTAAGTAGAGCAAACCTAATTAAAACTAAAGACCCTGATAAACCTACCTAGGTTTCACCTACACGGATCGTCAGGGAATACTATACTATACTATACTATTATATATATATTGATAGATATTTTTTATTTTGCTATTCCTTTAATACTTATTTATCACTCTCTCTCTCTCTCTCTCTCTCTCTCTCTCTATATATATATATATATATATATATATATATATATATATATATATATAGAGAGAGAGAGAGAGAAGAAAAATGACACTCAGTATTTGCAGATGTCGTCCACTTAGAAATCCTTGGGAAAGGCTTGGAGGCAGTTCACCAATTCCAGCCTCCAGGTAGGGAAAAACCACATTCCAGTGAGATTTCTTTGCAATTGTATGCAATGAATATTGGAATAGGTCCCGTTAAAAAAACAAAAAGCAAAAAAACAAAAGGACAGAAAAACCCAAACAAACAAACAAACAAACAAATTTAAATAGTAATATTTCTGCTTTCAGCTCTTGAAGAGCTTAAAGCCATCAATGTTTCAGTTGCGATAAAAGAGGCGGTATTTTATCGTAGATATCCGGAAATTCTCCTAATATCAAGAAAAAAGTTGAGTTGCACGCGATAACTGTCGAAATACTATAACGGTTGACTTTACAATGGTAATTAATAATTTAAGTTATGTTAATTCTAAATTAACAATTAGAAAATCTATATTCAAAAAGACTCATAGGTAAAAAAATTTAATACTATTAGGTTGGTGCAAAAATAATGGCGTAATAATGTCGTTTTTTGACGTATTTTTTAACGTCAAAAAACGCCATTATTACGCCATTATTTTGGCACCAACCTAACAGTAAGAAGTAAAAATAAGGGATCAATTTCTATATCATCGTTATCGATTGATTTTTTACTGCATAGCCTTTGTCTATTCCATATACCACATGCACACCCAAGCATACATCACCTGGTATTCGCAAGCGGTTACCCATCAAGGTATATATCAGTCTCGACGTTGCTTAACTTCGCTGATTGAACGAGAACCGGCGTTTACACCTGAGAATGGCGGTTAAGAAAGAAAGAAAGAAAGAAAGAAAGAAAGAAAGAAAGAAAGAAAGAAAGAAAGAAAGAAAGAACATTTAGAAGGAAACCACTACAGAAAGAAATGATAAAAGAAGTGAAGGCAGAAAGGATGTATGGCAGGAAAGAAAGAAAGAAAGAAAGAAAGAAAGAAAGAAAGAAAGAAAGAAAGAAAGAAAGAAAGAAAGAAAGAAAGAAAGAAAGGAAGAAAGAAAGAAAGAAGAAAGAAAGAAAACACTAAAGAAAGAAGTAATAAAAGAGGCGAAGGCAGAAAGAACGGATGGCAAGAAAGAAAGAAAGAAAGAAAGAAAGAAAGAAAGAAAGAAAGAAAGAGTTTCACCATTAAGGAAGAAAAGACTGGCCGATCTGGTAGCCGCAAAGAAAGAAAGAAAGAAAGAAAGAAAGAAAGAAAGAAAGGAAGGCTCATATTGGGAAGAATGAAAAAGAAAGAAAGAAAGAAAGAAAGAAAGAAAGAAAGAAAGAAAGAAAGAAAGAAAAAGGCTCATATTAAGAAGAAAGAATAAAGAAGTGATGAATGGAAAAAAGTAAGAATGAAAGAAAGGAAGGAGAAAATAAAGAAATAAAAAAGAAAGAAAAGCTGTTATTGGAAAGAAAGAAAGCAACGAACAAGCGTGAAATAGGCAAACAGAGAAAGAACGAATGTCGACTGAGAATAAAAGAAAAAAAGAAAGAAACATTCTAATAACAACAATAAAGATGACGATATAAGTCGAGCTGTAAATAGTGTAAATAGTTACTTCGAGTCGTTAATATTTTAAGTGTTATGCACAAATTACAATTTGGCACTGGTTATCCTGCCGTACCGTAGAAAATTACCGGTACGCCGGATCAGGCCGTTTTGCGTTCTATTGATTTACATCCCCAAACATATGTTTCTTCATATAACTTTTTCACCCAGATAAGAATAGACGAGGCATGTGAACACAACAGCCGACATGTTGTGATAACAAAAAAAGCCGAGGACTGTAATAATGCAGACACATCAAAGAATTATCAAATAATGCAGACGATATTATATTTATATTTAGGCCTTCTAAAATTATTGCATAATATAAGTTTGCCTATTTTGGAAAGAATTAAATTTCAGGAGATTAAAAAAGATTGATAAAGTCGTCTTTTAATCTTTAATACACAACACGTGATCTAAAGCATCCACCCAGAGATCAACGATATATTTGCCGCCTTTAAGCTGCAAGCAAGTTAAACTTAAATACCGAGATAAGAAAATTTATCTAATTTGCTAATACAACATAGAAGGGAAGAGCTACTTTTTTCATTTCGTAATTAAAACCAGACTCATAATGGATCAAATCGCACCACTCGAAATATAACTGGATGAAGCGAAGATGAAATAAGGTTTTAAGAAGGAGTTATTTGAATTCTTTTAAAACCGTTACTATTCTGCTTCTTTTTTTAAACATTCAGCAAGGCGGGAAGCCACTAGCAAGCAAGGGGTTACAGGGTTGGATCAAAGGAGAACAAAGAGGAGTAATGGAGGAAAGGATGAAGAGAAGGTTAGGGGATAGATCAGGGCATCTGGAGACGTCGATTGACATTACATTTGAATAGTTGGAGATTATAGCTATCCGGAAAGCAAGAAATGGGGAGGGAGTTCCACAGGCGAGAAGTGCGAGACATGAAGACAGTTGAGTACAAGAGACGGCTACATTTAACAGTTTCGACAGTGAAAGAATGAGAGCAAGATGCCAGCCTAGTTGAGCGCTTAAATTCATGAAGTCTGGGAACCAGCGAAAGCAGCACATTGGAGCAGTTACCGTGAAAGTATTTGTAAAAATGACAGAAAGAGGCGATGGCACCCCTGTGAGAGAGCGGCTTCAGACGAGATGCCAGATCAGGGCCAATTACATTGCATATCCGTCTTTGGATTTTATCAAGAATCTTGAGACAATTAGAAGACACTCCATTTAAATTTAAATATTTTACATCCAAGTGTTTTTATCTAAAAATTGTGGCAAGCATTCGATAAATAATTTTCCCCATGTTTTCAACAGAAACAACTATGGGAGTCCGTCTACCTAGGTTTTATTTGCTGTGTCGGGAGTCCAGACATTAAACGACAACTTACGTCTTCGATGAAACAAAAAAGAAGCTATTTTCTGGGGGAAATATAGAAACAGAACGTCAGTTGAAATATTTATATACTCTTTTTTCAGAAATAGCAATAAAATGTTCAATTTTCCTTCCAGTGGATTTTATTTTATAAAGTTTGCATTGTGTTTTTAGTTCGGTGGAAATGTGTGAACAGACTTACTTTATGAAGGTCATCCCAATGATTTTATGAGTTCGTAGAGAAAGGTTTTGTAAGCGACTGCTGGTTAATCCATTCTATTCTAGGCAAGGCCTTAATCGACGGCTGCTGGCTTTCTCGCTTCCATTATATGCATGTATGTGGGTGTGAGTGTGTATACTTGAGTTTAGATCAAAATGGCCTCCAAAATAGCTGTGAGCCCCGAGAAGCAGGAGGCTTTTATTTTTACATTCATAAGGGGAAACAGAATTGAATTTTACATCGAAGTGTGAATATTTTGAATACAAAGTCTTTATTGGTTACAAAATAATTTCACACCGGCTCGCGAAAATCTTTTTATCGAATTTGCGGAAGTGATGAAGGAAATTATTATTTTTATTTTCTAAATGGTCCAAAAACAACACGTAGTAGGTTTACAACTACGTCCAACAAGTATTTTGGCGGTATTTGTCTTTCTAATGATTGTTCATCAAACAAACCTTCTGATGGTATTTCATTAGTTGAAAAATATATATGGGATTTAATTCCTATACCATTATAGGATACTGGTAACACAAATAATCAAATAATTAGATTTATTATGTTGTTTTCTTTCATATAGAAGCTTTTGTCTACAATTATTAATTTTTGACTAGTATTTACTTCCAACTTCATTTTTTATTAGATGAAACATTGTCAGCCATTGTTATTAATTTCTGACTAGTATTTACTTTCATCTTCACTTGTCATTAGATGAAGCAATGTCAGCCATTGTTATTAATTTTTGACTAGTATTTACTTTCATCTTCATTTTTTTTATTACATGAAGCAATGTCAGCCATTGTTATTAATTTTTTACTAATATTTAATTTCATATTCATTTTTATTAGATTATTAATGCTGGAGTAGTATTTATATTCATCATACTTACTTATTGTGCCATCAAATAAGACCTTCATTAATTTCATAAGGAAATTATGCTGAACAATTTAATTATATTATGATGTCATGTTATAAAGTGTAGTAGTTTTAGTTTGATTTTCAATAAACAATGCAAATCTAAAACATTTTGTTGTATAATTTGTGCCCAGCAGTATTATGGTACTAAATACACATTTACCTAATTTTTATTTTTTATTAATTATGCTCTAACTAATGATATAACAAATCTTATACATACATTTTTTGTAAGGTTTACATTTATTTTTACACTGTTTTTAATTAACGAATACAGTATTAAAACTGCGTATTTTGCTCGTGGTAACATATAATTAAAATTTTGACTTGACTATATTTTACCTTCATTGTATCTAATAAAAAATATATCAAACTTATTTGTATTTATTCTCGAAATAGTAAAATGTTTACGTCTGTTTGTAAGCAAAAATCTACAGAAATTAGGTATTTCTATACATTGTAACAGACGACATTTAAAATTAAATGCTCAAAAATTCGTAAAAGCTATGAATCTAATCTTTGGTGTCACTGTTGATATCAAATTTAGTTTTCACATTGAATTCTTTGATGATTTTCTAAAAGTAGGGAAAAATCAACCTATCATACGGTAGAATGATCGAAGACAATCAATCAGATTTTTTTGCCCGTCTACTGATGGTCGATGAAGGACTGTTGTTACAGTCACCGATAAAATGATTCAATATACTTGTAAAATATACTTGTAAAAAGAAAAGAAAACTAAAGCTAAAAAAATGAGGATGCGAGTCTTGAAGATTACTGTTTACTGATTCTGCATTCTGTGATATATTTATGTTAAACCAGATGATTAAAAGCCTGCAGATTTGGCTAGCTAGAATTAAATACTAACTTCCGAGAAGAAAAAAAATCGTTTTACGACTATATCGTATCACCATTCAGTTGGAATTTATTGACGCAACGCGCTGGTGAAACTATTTTTTAAAATCTGGTGTTATGTCAGTATGTAACAGCAAGGTTTCGTCGTATCTTTCTTTCATCTTTTAGTTTTGCAGCTGTTATTTCATCTTTATTACACAGAAGAAAAAATACACTCTTGTCGTATACGCAAAAACCCGTTCTTAAAATTTGTATCATTAAGCTTACAAACGAGATCACAAGTAGCCGACCAGTCTTATGAGGACGATGAGCGAGTAAGGATGAGAGCGATCTTGCCATGCAATGCGTCAAAGTCAATTAATATACGAAAGCGTCGCCCGCCCCTTTCTTTACCTGAAATCTATTCACTTTGCTTTTAAATTTGAGGACTGCTTCTCGGCCTAAAAAAAAAACAAAAAAACAAAAGCGAAAGAGAATTCGCTACGTGAGTTTTATGGCTGTAATATAATCACCTCCTTTACTAGGGACGGATTTAATGGGAAAATATTTGTTCCGCTTCTGTAATATATTCAATAATCTGGTATGGCCAAAGAGGTCAGGGATAACGTGATCAAAGGACCAGACTTTCATATTCAATGATATGACGCGATTGAACGACGCTACATCTCACAAGTCACGTAACTGACCTAGTACACTTTTCTAGTCACTTGGAAAGTACTCGCTATGTAGAAAGGGTTTCATTTAGGTAACGAGCACACACACGCACAAATACAAACATATATATCAAGAAACTGATCAAAGAGCTAGAAAGTATCATTATAAAAATAGATATATTATGATTATTCATTATATATATATATATACACACACACACATACACAAACACGCACACACACAAACACACAC